AGAGTACTGTGGCACTTTAAAGGCTGACAAAGGACATTATTCAACCAAAGCTTAGCCATTTTCCATCCTGTCGATTTCAATTGTAGAAAATTAAGCATGGGCTTAACTCTCCCAATTCTTATCAGTAGACCTTAACATGCTTAAGTTTGGCTATCGGTATCCACACCGGATTATGGTGCAAAACTTTCAAAAATGAAAGCCTAGAAAAGGGACCGACCAGGGTGAGATAGCTACAGGCCAAACTTGATGAAAGGATGAGGGATCCACGAAAATTTCATTTTTAAAATGCTAAAAAAAAACATGGAGGCACCCAGAGTGGTTCAAGTCTAACTATGACAATTGGGGAGAATGTTCTAATTCAACCCTCTCTACCATTTTCCTCATAGAGGCCCTTTATGGGCCAATGTAAATCAGGAAACTGACAAAATTTGAGTCCAGTGGCACCTTTAAGACCAACAAAGTTTAATTCTGGGCATGCACACAATAGTTTATACCCAGAATTCAACTTTGTTGGTCTTAAAGGTGCCACTGGACTCTGTTCTATTGCTTCAGACCAACACGGCTACCCACCTGAATCTATCTTCAAGAAAGGGAAAGGGTTAACCTCTCCACATGTACACACTACAGAAATAATCTGATTCGCCTCACAGCTATTTTAAAAAGGGTGGGGGACCCTGATTTGAACAGGCCTGTTCCCCAGTTGTCTCAGAACTGGGCTATGCAATGCTCTTGCCAGATTCCTGCAGGCCCATAGTGACAGAGGAACCAGTTCTTCACCCCCCCCCCAGATCTCTTTTACCTTTAAATTCTCTCATGACTTCTATGGAAAATGAACCATTAAGAAGACAGGCAACCATCGGCTGGCTCCTCCTCCACTCTGCATATTTAATCTCTCCTCATTCCAGCCTTTTCTAACTATTGGTTGGCAAAATCTGCAGAACTTTTTAACGGGGAAAACTCTTGTTGAGGGTGCTCTCGTATGGTTAAGTGTTGAGCATAGCTGAATTCTCATACCAAGAATGCTTCAACTGCAGAATCAGGTCTTTTTGAGCATGCATATGTACTTTTAAACTATCTGTCTGTCTCTCAGAGATTAACCAATGGCCAATGGAAATTGTCTCTCTGTGCCCTTACTACGGCTAAAGGACTCATATTACAACACTGGAATGATAAAAGCCCACCTCCAGGAAATCAATGGATTGAGGAAAGAACTTTTATCAATTTTTGAATGTATGGCATATAGACAACAATTGTGGACTTATCTTTAGATATCTGGAAAGTGTGTATAGAAACTTATGTGTAGATCTGCCACCCATTGTTATATTTTTGCCTCTACTTTATGTGTATATTTTTGTTTCTTTTAAAAAACTTTATGTAGCTGCTGGATTTTAATTTTCCCCCTTTGCTCTTTTTCTTTAAAGAAAGGGGAAATACAACCCTGGGGAATCAGGCCCTGAGAAGATAAAACACTACAAACATGCTAAGTTTTTTTTTCCCAACAATTTTTTATTGAAGTCTTGCAATTCATACAACTATTAAGGTAAGTTATAACCACTTCAATTTTAACAGAAAATAAAAAGAATGATTAGGTTCGCAATTAATACAGCATTTGTTATAAACATATGAAAAACTACTACTTTTCTAAACTTGAAATCTTACTGAAAGTTATATAGTTTCGGGATATGAGGGGTATAACCATGAATTCATGTAGCGTTGGAAACTTGGAAAATCAAATGATAGTACATTTCTTAGTGAGGGTTTCATTTTGTTAAGGCTTGCGCTAACTGTACTATGTTGTGTCTTCATGTCTTAACTAACTCAATATCTATCTTTTTGTCTATCTTCAGAACCATTTTGTGTATTCCTCCCAGGACGATGGGAATCCCCATTAAGTTTTAATAAAAACAAAAGTGTGTATCTTCCAACATTTTGGGCACTAGGAAATAAGAAGTAATGAGATGAAATGTGTGAAACAAGAACAAGGGCAAAGGCAGGAAGAAAGGATGGCTTTTAGGATCAAATTTGTATTGTTTTCTTCCCATTGAGCACAAGCCAGCAGATCCAAAACATGCTCATACTCCCATTTCCAAGGATACGAAGTTGCAAAATTAGGGATTAGCCCCCATTTCCTTTCCAACAAACTACTTTGGTGCTTCTGAAAAAAGATATTTGGCATTCCTTTTGCCATATACCTGAACATTCCTGTGGAACAAGACAACTGATTTCCTTATTTCCCCCCCTTAAAAATCCAGTATTCACTGTATGTCATATAAGATGTGAGAGCACAGCTGTTTTAGTATTCACCCACAGACCAAATTCCATTCACAATTTCCAAAGTAAAGAGTCACATTTCTAAATTATGAAAACCTTGTTACTGTATGTTATTACTTTTTTTTTAAAAAAGGATACAGTTCTCCCTGTGAAAAAGTTTCTTTGCAGCCATCTTTAAATAAACAGCAAACAATGTATTTATTTCAACCTATTATTAATGTATAAATCATATATAATGATCAAAACCTAATGCATAAATGTGAAGGCAAAATGCTAAGCTCTGAAAAGGGCAGAAAACAGCTTCAAAGCCCCTGGCCCACAAATCACTTGTGGAATAGTCCCACTGAACCCAATCAGACTTCTCTGGAGTAAATACTTTTCATACCCCTGTCATAAACCCAGAGATATATGGGGCCTTATCATATTCTCCCTTGCAGTAAGATAGGAAGCTTTTTTATTAACCTATGTCAGTACCACCAGCCTTAAGAGACACCCATGCCTATATTTCTGTGTTCTTCCTATTTGACTGTGAGGCTTTGGAAATTAATAATGTGGTTGCTAGGGAAGGCAGCCTGATTTATCCAGAGCCAGGCACAGAGAGCCTTGGATGAAACTTCTACGCAGTTTCTCCCTTCCCTGCCTGAGTATCTGGCCGTGTTTATAAGGGAGAAACAACCTAATCATATGCCATAGTTCACTAAGATGGGGGAATACAGAAGATGCTCGAGGCTCATTTGTGGGAATCTAATTAAAAGAGAAAGAATGCTCAGATAAGCAATGACACATGTAGATTACAGAAGGAAAGAAAATATTCTTCTTATCTTACTGTTCTTCTGACTTAAAAGATCTT